GATCTCACCTTGAGGCAGTCAGTTGACTTGCTAATGAGGTCAGCGAGGTGACGCCTTGAGGTTTACAAATAACACGTAGGCCTTCTGGAGGAGCTGCTTCAGATAGTGTCGTGTCTAATCTAATTTTAACACTTGCCGGCTTCGCTATGAAGAACTCATCCAATTACAGACAACCTTCATACCGGTTTCGAGTTTTTTTTAAGTGTAGTAAGTGTGTTCGTTTGTCGATCATGGTCACGCAGTTCAGTGATTCTAGCAATCAGCTGTTTCATCCTGTTCTCATGACTGTAAACACAAACTTGTTTCCCGTAACACTAGTTTATTTACACACACACACACACACCTTTCATGTTACAGTGTGCCAGCGTTGTTAATGGTGTAACTGTTCTAGAATTTATGAAAGGTGCTGAAATATCACAAGCGGTGGAAAATGGGAATAAGCACAGACATAACAGCAAAATGACACGTACAAGAGTAAATGAGGTTATAATCTTCATTTCTGGCCATAATATTCTAACGTGTCGCTTCTGATGCCTTGTGAATTAATGTTATATTTATATATACTGTCTGTCCTATTGTGGTATTATCTAGGACATACATTCGAATAATAATCCGTATCACGCACAACATGGTACATTTAATTATGTAAGTGTTAACAGCTTTACAATGTTTAATAATGAAACATTACCTACCAGCAACATGTTTCGGCTTTACGACCATTATCAGGTCTGAAGATGTCTGTCTTCCGGGATTTTGCGCCGCGTAGTCTGCCAGAAGTTCGCCGACATTCCAGAGGTGCTTGCTGCCTCTATCGTCAGGGCGATAAAGCCCTAATGTTTAATTAATTTCGTGGTGTCTCGTTTAGTGCTACCGTAGTCTAGCAAGGGTCAAAGGGCGGTGACTCTGGCTGAGGTACGTGTTACACTCTTAGAGTTTTGTGGTAAGTCACGAGCCACGACAGAGAAAGTGTAACTTCTTTTCCAGTCAGTTATTTTTAAGGTGTAAATTTAGGTTCTCATGGCGGCTACTACTATGAAGCACAGATGTTGGTTGTCCGTATGCAGGATGTGTTTCAAACGCTGTGTGTTGATTCTAAATGAAAACAGGGTTCAAGGGG